AAAGTCAGAATTCTGAGATTAAAGTCAGAATTCTGAGATTAAAGTCAGAATTCTGACTTTTTTCTAATACTAAATTGAAATAAAATTTGAAAATCAGTAAACGTTTTTTTTTTTCCAGTGGCCCTTATCCTCGTCCGTATGTGACAGCTGAGATTAAGTTACGTTTTAACACGTCAACATGCAAAACAAAATGTTGAAGTATTCTAGTCAAAGACGTTTTCTTCTACTTTAGGTGTTATGCCTTTGCCGAGTTGCCATGGTACCAGCGCAAAGTGGCAGCTGTAATTTTCTCATCACCGCCTACATCTACGTTCGAGGAGGTGGAAACTTCTCTGCGGTCCTCATCCTCACTATTTGGGCTGTCTAGTATCATTGAATGCTTATAAATTCTGGTTTCTCTCTCTTTTAGGCGTTGGAGTTCTTCCTAAAGGCAGAGAAAGGTTGAAGATATTATATTTAAATGAATAGTTAATCATTTTATGAGCACTTTAAGCTAAAACCTTCTCCTGTAATCACTGGTTCCTACAGTTGACCCAGACTTCTACAGTAAAAACCTGCTGATGCTGGGGAAGACGTACATGTCCATGAGGGACAAGGAGAAGGCGCTGCTCTGGCTGACTAAAGCTAAGCAGTATCCGGCTCGCACACTGGAGGACAAAGAGGTACAAACATACCAGCACTGTAGCAGGGATCCTGTTATCGACTAAAGCCCCTGTCACACCTTGATGATTTAGATCAGGGCTCGGCAACCCAAACTGCTCAAAGAGCCATATTGGACACGAAATGAAATGAAATCCCTCTAAGTCACTTTGAAGTTGGAGGCGTTTTGTAAGACATTTTATTCCTGCTGATTTATGTTTTTTTTTAACCCCTGCAGGTCCATAAAGAAGCAGTGGAACTCCTGAATCAGCTTTGAGAAATAGCGCACTACCTCTACGTGCCACCGGAGGCCTTTTCACACAACTGCTGAACCAAATCCATTACTATGAAATGAAGCATCAGGAAATATTGGGGTTTATAATTCCATGTAACTTAAAGGCTGTATCTAGTTGGAAGTTCCCGTATGAAGGAGTGAAAGGGATAAAACGTGTTAACGTCCACTGTGTTCAATTGTTCAATAAGGCATTACAACGCAATCACTTCTATGCAACCAGATAACATTTAATATTTGCTTTGGAAATTCATTGTTTACGTTATTAACATTTTTTTCTTTGTCAGCTTGTTTAATCTCTACACGTGTCTGAAACGATTCATTAAATCAGCTAGAGAACCTCACTGATGGACGGAGTCGCTGCATTTTGCAGGAGCAAGTGAAAAACCTTGAACTGGTGACATTGGAATTTCAATCATGCTGTTCTTACGGTGATGAAGCCAGGTGACTGGAGTCCTCCAGCTGTCGCTGCACACTGCTGGTCAGCTGGCTGAAAGGAAAGCATCACCATCGTTCCTTTGAAGCATTGGAAACTTCACCAAGAATGTGTGTAAAGCAGTTAACTGCAGGCGGGACTAATCAGCTAATATTACCTGGAGTAAAATAACTGATTAGAAATAATTTAAATTTTATCTTACTACAAAGCTTTGTGTGAATATTTAAGGAGCCCTTGTCTCACCAGCATTGTTTATCTCAAACATAAAGGAATAAAATCTGCTGCTCTAACATTTTGTGTCATCTGTTAGAATTTCTTGACAGATTGAGTTCGATCCCCGACCTGCAGGCCTCCTAACCTGACTCCGCCAGATGGATTTGCTCCGCATATCCATCTGGAAATCTTCCATTGAAGTGATTTTGGAAAGGGGCAAAAATACTGGTTAGCTGATTGGCCTATGTTGGTGATAGACGGGCCAAATAAACCAATCAGATCAACGAAGCATATGACGTACTAACAGA